AAGGAATAAAAACCATTGCTCATATTGTGACATATAGGGATACGTGAGTATGTATAGGGAAGTATAGGGACATCTAGGGTCTAGAGTTTAGGGCTGAGGTCTTTTTTATGGTATAAGGCATAGGTTTACAAGGTTGGGGGGGGTGTTCAGGTTCAGCATTAGAAGTATCTACCTGCTTCTAGCTGGGTTCTACACTGCTATTGCTCCTGTTCCTCTACCCTAGTAGTATTCTTTTCCCGTTGAGTTTGGGGTCTCCTTATCAGAGCCCTAAACCCTAAACCCTAAGACCCTAAACCCTAAGACCCGAAAACACAGCGCGGTTGCGCAGTCGTATAGGCCTCTGGGCCTGGGGCACTGAGTTGTCCTTCGCGAAGATGTCACCGTAAAATCGGTGTGCTGAGCATTGATTTCACGATTTTCCAAGGAAAAAGGCACGTTGCTGCACAGCGGTTGAATAGGCTCGCTACATTCACCATGATGTCTGCAGACATGCCGTTTTCAAAGATAGTTCAACATGATTTGGTGCAACATGTTTGCCAGGCGGCATGCTGGCAATCGTTCCAACAGAGACGAGGCCGGCATTTTTGAGCCTGGCTCTCGGCACACCAGCCAGTCACCAGTCATGTTCTTTCTTATGGCTGTTTGCTTCCCGTACAAGTCTGACACAAGCTTAGCAGTGTGGATCCACGGACCTTTAGAATCTTTAGAATGGGGTTACATGCTGGATCGCCAGAGCCGTAGACAAATACGAAAGCCACTTATGACAACAGTTGCATGGCAGTATCTCAAGACCCCAAATGTAGAGCCCGCACGTGCGCAGGTGTCGCGCAGCATTCCGTTCTCATTTGCGTTTGTGAAAGAGAAAGGGATCCGCAGACCCTAAACTAAATCGCTGAACCTCTAACGTCTAACGAATATCCTTAAACCCCAAATCCTAAACCCTGGACCCTAAACCCAGCCCCAAACACTAAACACTAAACCCCAGAATACCTGGACCCCCAGACCCCAAACCTTATTCCTCAACCTGGAGCCAAATCCTCAAACTGTTATTCCAAATCCCTCAACTCTAGACTCCAAATCGTTGGTAAACGCGTACTGTGAAATCCAGGTCAAGATGCGCTGCCATTCAGGATCACCTCAAGAAGGCTTTTCTTGCTGCTTCTATGAATGTTAGGAGTATTCTTTCTGGCCTTCAGTGTGCGAAGTTTCGAGGGACCCTAAACCCTAAACCCTAAAATTAGTCAGCGACCCAAAAATGGATTGTCAGTGCTGCTTAAGGCGACCTTTTCCGGCCAGCCTTTTTTGGGTGGAACTAAGGACTTTTGGGGATTAATATGGGGACATCCTAGGGATATAGGGGCAATATACTGACTATAAAAGGGTTATATATGGTAATGGGATTAAGGGTCCCTATTAGGGGTCCCTCCTAAAGTCCCTACAATACAGCTCCTTGTCTTTCCCAGTCGTGGCAATCCTATGGAAAAGCCTGCGGATTCAACGCCGAGACACCTCCAAACAGGCCCCATCTATCGAGGCTTATTGTCGAAGGTGATCTGCAAGACTTAGTATACGAAAAGCTTGTACATCACTATGAAATTTCAGCTCGTGACACGGCTGGAGGAACGAACCCATAATGCTGGAGTCACTTCGGGGCTCTCCTAAAAATCATCAGGCTCCAACACTAATCTAGAGGCCTTCATATAGGACATGGTATGGTTTAGGTGCTACGGGTGGGCGTCTGCATACCTAAGAAGCAGAGTGTTCCCACCGCCTATATTTGGCCATGCTCCTCTCCTAAGTGAAGCAGATGGCGCATGACATGGAGGTCCGCTTCTGGCCCTTGTCTAGCGCCGTCTACTGCGTGTTCACAAAAACTTGAACGTCCAAATGTCCCAGCCATGCAATCGTAAATGTTCTGTTCATAGCAGGTGCAAGCATGGTGTCTTTACAGAGAACTCAACAAAATCCAAAACCTTAATCCGACGTATAAAGGGATAGCCAGCCAGTTCTCTGTGGCAACCTGAAGCTACAGGTCCTCTGTAGCTGGGAGATAGGTCAACTATAGGCAATATTGTGAGCTTCCATATTTCTCCACGTTGCGTGACACTCCGTCTCTCTACATGCCCAGGACCCTAAACTCCTAGCCTCACACTGAAGAAGGGCTTTGAGTTCCGAGCCCCGTAATCCTAAAGGCTCAAGCCCGAAACCCTAAACCAGGTACATGGTGCGCCCGTGGACATGCATGATGCAGCAGCCCTTCTGAACTTCAGAGGGCCCAGGTCGGAGCCCCAAACAATTTCCCACTGCATGAGGGAGTGTGGCAGGACGGAATATAGGCTCCGGTAAAGGTTTCCCGATGTAGTAATTGGGTCATTTGGGAGTGTCAAAGGAGGACGGCTTAGGGTAGGGTCTTAGGATTCAGATTTCAGGTTTAAGGGTGTTAGGCCTTGGGTGATGTTTACATCTATGTGCTTACACATGTAGGCATGGGGGTTCAGGTGGACAATAGTCTCCGCTATTCATGGTTCCACCTAAACCCTAAATCCTAAACCCTAAACTCTAAACCCTAAACCGGGCAGGACTCCAGAGCAGGGTGA